TTCTCCTCCATGTTCATGTATGATGTTATCAATAAATACTTGATGTGAAAATGAATCAGAATACCTAGAATTGCTCAAGTTATTTTTCAAAATCTCCTCACTTATATTTAATAGGTGCACTTCCTTTTCCTGCTATACATATGTTCCATATTTTTGTCTCCTTTTCCAACAGGCACACCAATTCATTCTTTGTGGCTGAAGGAAGCCCTTTTAGCCAATAATTCTCTCCCTCTTAGTGTCATTGCATCTATTATAGAGCACAAATAGAACTGCTGTGTATACTTAGAACACTACACAATTTTTAAAAAGTGCACTATTTTTACCTAAGAGGAGGTGTTCTCCTTTCTAGGGGTGAGGGGAGAGATAATCATGCATATGAGGGGTTGGCATTGACTGTGGACATTAAGTCAACTGATCAGAGGATGGAATTTGCATTGCGGGTGATAATCCATCCATATTTCTGCCTCTTCCCTTCATTCATGTAAATTAAACCTGCAGGATCTGCCTTTGTGTAAACTTTCCTACAGTTTGTTAATATGCATTACTGTGGCTATAAAATTGAAGAGATGGAGTAATTCTGCTTATTTGTTTTGAATTTGGGTACAGGGAGTTAATCGCCTAGAGAGCTCAAACGTTGTTGGCAGAACTTGGAGTATCCTAGCATGGATAGCTTTGAAATATCTATTCAGTGTTCAGAAAGCAAAGCATGGTAGGAGGAGTACTAAATTAGGAGTCCAAAGACTGACAGTGTAGTCTTGACTCGGCCTGTGTGTAACCATGAATGCCTCCCTCACTTGTGTTCGTGTAACACTCAGTTACTCACAGGGTGGCTGTGAAGCTCAAATAAAGAAAGGACAAAAGGAAAGGTACGTCAAAAAAATAACCTGTGAGGGGCGGGAAATGTTGACAGATAGTGATACTTTAGATACCTTATCTCACTCTTATCTCGGATCACCTTCCCTGGAAGCTGGCATTCATTATCCATTTTTCACATCTTACTACAATAGAAACAAATGCATCAATAACTTTGCAAGTCAGAAGAAAATAAAGGCTGGGAAACTGGGGAATAAGAAGAAATAATGACACCTCAAAATTATGAATCCCACAGGGGCGCTTGGGTGGCTCCATCAGCTAAGCGTATGACTCTTGATTTCGGCTTGGGTCAGGATCTCCAGGTCATGAGATCAAGCCCCGAGTCAGGCTCTCTCTTCCTCTTCCTCTGCTCCTCCCCCCTCCCGCTTGCGCACCTGCATGCACGTGCACACGTGCTCTCTCGCTCTCTCAAAAATAAAAAAATTATGAATCCCACAAATTGGCAGCTGTTCCCATTTATATCAGGATGAAGAGACTAATGTTCTTTACATTCTTCAGGCAATAGATATGTGTTATCAGCAAACCAAAGTTTATTTTCCAGGGATCAAAAATGACATGCTAAATAGTAATTGAAATATTAGATTTGTTTTTATACCATATGAATCTATCTGAAATATTGACAATTTCAAACAAAAGAAACCCAATTTTTTTCTTTCACACAGTTCTTCATTTTGTTAAAAAAAAAAGTTCCTTTAGTACAAATGCAGGTGAAAAAAATGTATTACTAAATACAACCATTTAATTGCATCAAGTGGACCCCTTTGACCTACGTAGTAAGTACTGTGGGGTCTGCAGCAGTCAAAGTCAGTTAGAGTCCAAAGCTTCAGATTTGGCATGGATGGAAGGATTAGGCTGGATGAACCCATCTTTACTTGATTAACCTTAAAATTTCCTGCCTAATACATAATACATAAGTCTTTTTACAATATACCTTGTTTTATACAACCCATGATTCTGAAATGTATGCAAAGTACATTTTTAGAAATTGAGTTATTTTTTAACCTATCAGGAGAGTTTACCATTTAGAAAATTCATGTGGTGAGTCTTCTCTTTATTAAGTTGAATTACATGAAACTGTTGATAGTTGAGCACTTTTGACCTACGGAAATGGCAATTTCATATGGGTCAGCATAATAAAAAGTGAAGAATCATTCTTTCACCTTAAAACAGAGTACATCTACGTATAAATAACCTGTTTATATGCACTTAGGCTACCGTGCAACTTTTGGAGAGTGGGGATGGGGGAGGGAGTTGCCAAGTCAGCATTTTGGATAGATGGATAAATTCACATTATGCCCACTGTTTGCTCTGGCTGCCTCTTTGAGCAGTAATATATGTTAATTAATGTATCAAGGGATAGAATATAATTTAATACAAATGGAAAAATTCTTGTCTTTACAGTAAGTTTGCTATGATGAAAACATCCAGTTCATTTTCCTAAAAATTAAATACCATGTGAGTCACCATAAGGACACATCAGCTTAGATGCATCTCCATTTATGTTATCACTGGAAATTGTGTGTGTGTGTATCGGAGCGGGGGGGTTATGCCACTATTTTAGTGCAACTGTGCTGTGGGCTTTGGTTAATGCTCAGTGAAGATCTGGATCCCATGGGGCAGTTGTGATGAAAGAGGGTGGTTGTTTTCCAGGTGAGTAACCTAATCATAAATTAGGACTCTTCATCCAAGTCAGTGATTAAAGAGCAGCTTTAAGCTCCGGAAATGAGGGTTGGGGAGGTCAGGTCGGCAGGAATGGATTTGTAGTCTGTCTGTTCATCAACTCGGGCATCAAGGCATTGAATATCTTGCTATTCACTGCTGTTGAAAGTGTACTCAGTTCCTTCATGTTATCCAGCCACTGACTTCTCACCTGTAAAGTGCATTCAAATACTGTGAGCACAAAAGGGAGAGCCTGGAGCGAGGGGATATGTGTGTCCTTGAGAAGTTGTGGGGAACATTGCCAACCTGTGATGGAGTCCATGGAAGGCTGCCAAGAACGAAAATTTTGAAGGGTACATGGAGTCTGGCTGTTGAAGGCAGACACAACTCGAACCACCAAATGTAATAATGTAAGAGTCACTATGCGTTTTGGAAAACGTAATGCCAAAAGGGAAGTGCATGCCCTATGTCTTAGCCTACCTGCTGATCTCTTCGGAATGGTGCCGAATACAGCTGCCAACTCTCAAGGTCCGCTATTGTAACAGGTGCGCCAGAGGCAGGAGCCTTGCTGCTAAGTTTAGCTCTGCATGTGGGGATTTCACACTTTGCAGCCCCTTGGAGAGAGGAGTATTGGCAAATGACTGTGTATAAAAGTAGAAAGCACTTGGGAATTTCACAACCAAGCTAGATTTAGATCAGAGTAAAGGGGCCAATCTAAATTGGTAACAGACTAGAGAGAGCTGCATGTCTGGTAGAGGTGGCATTAACCTGCCATCCAGTCCGGACCATTTCTCTCTCACGCCACTGCAGTTCCCGAGGGAGCACCCTGTGAAATTTGAGGACCACCTTTTAGGTGCCAGAGAGAACTAATTGTTTTTTAACGAGGGTAGAATTATTTTAAGCAGGTAGAAATTAACACGCACGTGTTAGTTCTTTGGCAGCAAGTAGATGACCAGCCTTCTAATGCCTGATTTGTAAATAGGACTCATCTCCCTCGGTTCCCTTTTGGAACGTTCACTTAAAAAAAAAAATCAAATTCTTTCTCTACTACTGGCATACTAGGCTACTTATGAGAATGGAATTTTTAAAAATATCATTCTCTTATAGGTAATAAGCCAAACACTTCATCTTTGGGCAGGGATCAGGAAAGAAAACGTGTTTTCTGGGAAAGACAAATGTGACATTTGAGGGCATTGATCTTAATAAGGATTTGTAGGAGGGTGGTGTTTAGTCCTTTCCTCCTTTGTCTTTTTCTTACACTCAGATCTAAAGGAGCTCAGCGACTAAATAGCTCTCTGATAATTTTTTCAGAAAGAAAAACCTGGCACCCAGAAAATGGAATGTTTTGTCCAAAGCCACAGTCATACAGTGACAGAATACCAATATTATTTCATTTCTGCTTTAAAGTCTAGTTGGGTCTTTTTTGCCAGGATCATCTTTTTTTTTTTTTAAAGGTTTTTTATTTATACTATTTATTTGAGAGAGAGAGCATGAGAGGGGGGAGGGTCAGAGGGAGAAGCAGACTCCCTACTGAGCAGGGAGCCCGATGCGGGACTCGATCCAGGGACTCCAGGATCATGACCTGAGCCAAAGGCAGTCGTTTAACCAACTGAGCCACCCAGGCGCCCTGCCAGGATCATCTTTAAACAAAACTCATCTTTGGGTGCAACTCAGTCCTAGAGCGTGATGGGGAGGGAGAAAAAGGTAAAGAAGCTGCACGTATAATGTAAGTTTCATTGTCATGAGCACATTTGAACTTAATTTTCCCTTGGTTTGGGGGTGGCTCATCATTCTGGATTTTTGTAATACATCTGCCATTATCTGAGTTTTTGAAAGTCCAGTAATAGTAATAACACAGATATAAAATGCACATTTTTTTCCCTCTCTAGACGAATTTGTTGACTAGCAACTTCTTTCTGCAAAGTTGCTCTTTAAACTGCAACAGTTTCTTTAAATCTCTTCTTTGGTTTGGGACAAACCCAATGGCCTTGGATGATAAAATCCCTGTTCCTTTGGGAAAGGGTTCGTGGTCCCTTCCATCAGCCTCTGACATGATTTAGCTTCATGTCAGCAGAGACGATTCTTTAGGGTCCAAATGCTCAATTAAAACTTGTCCTTTTCTTGGGGGTACCCTCTTTGAACCATCAGCCCCTTCGAAAGCAAATCTTTCTTGTTCTCGGTGCTTCCAGGGATCCTGTGTTTTTTTTACAATAGCTGCATATGAATTTCTGTGGTCTGAGGTTTGCTCAAGGCCCAGGCTCTCTTTGGTTACTATGGCAACCTGCCCTCCCAACCAGCTGCCATTTCCTTTATTCCTGGCACAGAACGAGTCTTAAACCTCTTAGATATCCCACAAGCAGAATCAAGATAAGAACAACACAAAAAAACCACGAACAGCTTGTTAAATAAACAACTTGTTGATTCCCTACACAGGAAGCCACGTGCAACAAAATAAGCTTTCCTGGACATCAACATACAAGGGTTTACTGAGACCCACTAGCGCACGTATTCAGCCTGACTTTAAGGAGTGGGGATTCGACTCTGCATCTCTACATCTGTGAACTGAGGGACACTTTCCGTGCTCTCAGAAGTGATGGGTGAGATGACATGTTTGAGCCGAAGGAGCATTGTGAAGAGCAGGATGAGGAGAATGGCCAGGAGGCTCAAGAATAAGCCCACATACATGTAGAGGTTGGAATACTTATCTGCAGTGGTGTCGACCTCTGTTGCCAGGGTGGGGAAATGGGCCCGGCCGGTGAGGTTTCCATGGTACTTGAAATGCACCTCCGTCATCCCTCAAAACTTCTGTGGGTACCTCTTTCGGTTTGCTTTCTATTGCCCTCGAGGCATTCCACAGTCACTCAGACTGTCTCTGAATATACTGGAGGTGTTCTAACAATCTCGTGCAAAGAAAGCAATCACGACCTGAACCAAGTAAGTGGTGCACAAGCAAGAAAATGGTGATGTTCTAATTTGGCAATGGCCACACTCTATCCTCCAGCCCAGCACCCTTGTCCCTCAATAGGTTTTATCAGAAATTCTTAATCGTTAAAAAAATAATATATAAATAACTCTTTTTCCACAGTCCTGCTCTTATACTGATTAAAACAAATGATGGGGAAACTGCTTTTTATAATACTGGTATGGGGACAAGAAATCTCCGAGTATGAAATCAAACTTTTACTCTGTTTTGATGGAGGGAGAAAGGCTCTCTGCTTTACCTACGGCTCATCTAAGTGTGCGCACTAATTACGTGGATTTAACTGGGTTCTTCTGTGAGGAGACTGTCTAAAGGCTTTTGTATATTTCAGGCTCAGCATATCTGAATTTTCACGCTTCTTGTCTCTCAGAATCTCCCCTCAGGATGGAGCTGGTAAGGTTCCTGCCCAGCTGCCACGGCTTGAGTGCGTGTGTTGACGTCCCTCACGGTAGGTTGGAGGGAAAGTGTTGTCAGACCTGGTAATTCTCAGAAGGAGGAGGTCTCAGAGATGCTGACAGCAGTCTGTCTAGGTTCAGAAGATTTGACTCTTAAGATTCTTCAACAGATTTATATTCCTGAAAATCAAAAACAGAAATAGAAGATTCAGGTATCTAAGAGAAACAGATGGCAGTTTCTTTTGGGATACAAATTAAGGGACATATTGCAAAATGTTTGCTAAGGGCAAATTAATTTTAAAATGATACCCTGAGTTTTCAATTTGAATGCCTTTCGCTATGTGGTAAATGGCTATTAAAGAAAGGAAAAATTCAAATCACTGAACAGCAACTAATAACTAGGCTAGATTAGGATAGTGTTTTCCAAACTAATTGGTCCTAAGATTTACCCAAGGTACTTAATAAAATATAGACCAAGGGCCCCAAAGTAGACTTTCTAAATCATAATCTCCACAATAGGGGCCAGGAAACCACTCTAGAGAGTCAGATTTTATCGGTCTGGGGTGGGGTCCAAACACCAGTATTTTTTAAAAGCTCCCAAGTGACTCTCAAGTGCAGCCAGGATGAGAACGGCTGCCCTGGCTTAACCAGGTAATCCTAGCGTTAAAATAAAGAAGACCTAGGGGTGCCCGGCTGGCTCAGTTGGTAGAACATGCGACTGTTGATCTCAGGGTTGTGAGTTCAAGCCCCACGTTGGGCATGGAGCCTACTTAAAAAAATAAAATAAAATAAAGAAGACCTAAATCTAAGGAGTCATTTTTCAAACTCCAGGTCCCAGTGCCATGGCTCATTTTAACAAATCATAGACTTTGTAGGAATGCAGGCTTCCCCCAATTTTGTTTTTGTGTTCTTTCTCTCTCATTTAGGTCTGTGGAGTGGGAATGTACTTTTTTAAAGATTTTATTTTTATTTGTTTGAGAGGGAGAGATAGCAAGAGGAAGCAGAGCAGGAGGGGAGGGGGCTGAGGGAGAGGGAGAAGCGGGCTCCCCGCTGCACAGGGAGCCCAATGTGGGGCTCCATCCCGGGACCCTGGGATCACGACCTGAGCCGAAGGCAGACGCTTAACCGACTGAGCCACCCAGGCGCCCCAAGAATGTACTTTTTTCCCCAGTATTTGTAGATCAGACAGAATTGAGAGGGTACGTCTGTTCTGAGCGAATAACTATATCTCTCATTATTGGTAAAGACAGAACTTTGTCTTTATTGGCAAAAACATTCCAGTGTGTGAATAGGGTCAGCTATTTACTGTTGACACCTTCCAAAATGATTTAGCTTGTCATTCTGAACATGAATTTGGAATATGGGTGACTAAAATAAACAATATAAACTTCCATCACTCGTCAAACTTCTATGCAGTAGTAGCGGAGAGCGGACAGTGTAGCCTAGTTCTGTCTCCTGTTAACATACCCGAGGAGAGTTCATGGAAATAGCTCCAACAATCACACTATTCTTCCAATAATCCCCCAGCCTGGGAGCACTTAAAATTTATATTCATTCGTCCACACTATACTTTCTGTAGTCAGCATGTTTCTTAGCCTACCTATCTAACTGCCCTACTGTCTAGCAGAGCCACCTGGTTCATAAGAAACAAGGGCAAAGAGACAGGCTATCTTTCTACTGTCTTTGGACCGAAGGTCTAGGAAACATTTGTCCACTACTTAAAGGTATATTTATTTTGATTTCTGATTCACTAGCAAGTGGAAAAGACAATCACAGTAGATATCCTTTAGTTCCCTAGAAACACCATCTCCCAAAGGCAATGGATCATCAGGGCAGCTTGTTACCAATGCAGATTTCAGGTCTGTTCTTGGGAGCTCCTCCTCCCCAAACCACTTGGTCCTCGACCTTGCTTGTTCTTCTAAATCCAGTTTTTCTCAAGGGCGTGATGCATGGACCCCCCCCCACCATGTCACCTGAAACGTAGATTTCTAGGCCCTTCCTGGGGCTTCCTGAATTCTAATATGTTGGATCAAGACCCAGGAATATGCATCCTAAACCCAAGCTTTTCAAGTGGTTCTTTGTACATCGAGTTTTGAAAGGTAACTGTAGGTATTTCTCTCTAGATATCCCAGCCAAAGAACATAGCTAATAAGTCTTATTGGTGGTTTGGGGCCCTCCTTAAAAAAAAAAAAAAAAAAAACAAAACTATTTAAAACAGTGTTATGGGTTGAATTGTGTCTCCCCAACACATATGTTGAAGTCCTAACACCTCGTACCTGTGAATGTGACCTCACTTCAAAATAGGGTCTTTGCAGATGTAATCACGTTAAAATGAGGTCATTAGGTTAGCCCTCATCCAATATGACTGGTGTCCTTATCAGAAGGGACGATACAGGGATTGGAGTGATGCATCTATAAGCTGAGGAATGCCTCGGATTGCCAGCAAACACCAGAAGCTGGAAGAGCCAAGGGAGGATTTTACCCTACAGACTGTAGAGAGAACATGGCCCTGCTGATGCCTTGATTTCAGACTTCTAACCTCCAGACCTAGGAGAATAAATTTCTGTTGTTTTAAGCCACCCAGTATGTGGTACTTTGTTTATGGCAGCCCTAGGAAACGAATACACAGAGTCATCACCTGGAGTCCCTAGTGTTTTGGAACCTTTGGGGCAATGTTTCTCAATGTGGTCCCAGGAAGTCCCTTCATCAGAATCACCTGGAGATGCTTATGACAAATGCAGATTGCGAGGTCCTGTCCCTTGTTTTTTAGATCAGACTCTCTGGGGATAGGACCCTGAAATCTACATTTGTGACAAGCTGGCCACTTCGAATTTTGAAGCACCCTCTGCAAGGAATGGTTTCTAGTCCCTGCTGCCCTCGGGATCACTTATGAAGTGATTTGAAAATGTATGTACCTGGGTCCTTCCTCCAGAGGCTCGGATTCAGTGGGTCTGCGTGGGGCATGCACGTCTGTAATGCTTAAAGCCCCACAGGTGATTCTGATCTGCAGCCGGGGCTGAGCAACACCATTCTCCAAATACAGCAGAGTGCTTCGGATTCAGGACTCCGACAGTCCCAGGCAGCTCACCCAGAGGAGAGAAATGGAAGGAAAATAAACACTCCCTGCTGGTGCCAGCCAAGTGGGAGGCCCCTCTTTATCATTGGGGTATCTTTTTAGTCTACCGCGGTCCTCAGCTGCACAGATTTGGATAACTCCTTGGTTTATGGCATAGTGCCTCCAGGGCCTCTTTTATTTGCTTACTTCATAACACGCATGGAAAAAAAAATAACACTCACGGACAAACATCTGTGAACAAACACCCACCAACTTTAAGATTGAGAACAATTAAGAATTTATACGGACATCTACCTATGCTCCTCCCCATCTTGTCCTGCTACCTATTGCTCCCCCAAAATAATCAATACTCTAAATTTTGTGAATCATCACCTTGCTTTTATTTACACACACACACACACACACACCCCTATGCCTGAAACAATATGTTATTTAGTTTTGTTTTTAACTTCATAAAAAAAGTGTCAAGCTATATGTCATCTTCTTCGACTTGCTCTTTTTACTCTGTGCTCTATTACCATATGATTTCTTTACAACTAATCAAATAGGGTGAAAAAGGAGTCAAGTTTTGGAGGCCCACATATTGCCTTTGAGGATCCTTATTGCCTTTGGACTTCACTCCATTCTCCTTAGCTTGGCATTCAAGGCTGGCAATGCCCTGGTCCTGGCTGACCTACATCCTTCCACTACCCTTCGTTCCCATCAAGCTGGAATGTTCACTGTCACCTACTTCCCTGCCTTCATGTTTTTGTTTGACCAGTTCCTTTCATCTTTACATATCTCTGTTTGGGGAAATGCTACCATTCTTTATGGTTCAGCTCATGAAACTGACCTTAATTTCCCACCTAAATCCTAATTCCCACATGCTCTGTATCACTCCCAGAGAATTAACATTCATCTAATATTGTAAATATCTATTTCATGTGTTTTCCCCCAAGTTGTAATATATAAACCCCTTGAGGATCTTTTTTCAACATTCTATCCCTTAACCTTGCTCACAGTAGCTGTTCGATAATTATTGAATAAATGCATGGATATGAGGAAATCCACCTAGCACTGACAATTTGAAGAGAAACATAGTCTTATTTCTCTTCTGCCTGCTAATATACCTTGGGGAAGAGCCTGAAACTCCATTTTCTTTTTATTCCTCTTCCTCATCTCTTACTGTGCAAAGGAAACTAAATTCCTGATTATAATCTGGAACTAAGGAATAATCACGGTGTTAGAAACTCTGCTCTTGAATTACTATCCGTTATATGATTTTAAAGGAGAACTACATGGGATGGGTTTACAGCCTTAAATTTTAGGAAGTTTAATTCTGTCTATAGATGCTTTTCAGTAACAGTTGATAATACATTGTCTGCTTCCTACAC